AGACGGAGAGCTGCATAGACAGCAGGTCACATATGATTTTAATACTTGGGTAAATGGATGAACACACAGATTGACAGACAGGTGTAAAGATGGATGAATACACTCAGATGATGCATTACTGGTTTTAGTATATACATCTCTCACATACCCTTGCACTCTGTAAGTACCATCCACTAAGTCAGTTCTAGCAAAGCGTGCATTAAATATTTCACTAAAGTAAATAAATACATGTAACTATGACTAATAGGGAGATCTTTCCCTAGCCAGTACTTTATGCAAATATCTTCTTTATGCAGCAAAATGAAAAGATACATTTACAAAGGGTCTCGGGGAAACTATAGGTCTTTGTCTGCCTTCAGACACTTACACCCAGTTTCCTTTCTCCTCTCAAAAAGTACTAAACAGAAATCAAGTCTTTATGCACTCTTTTTTTCTCCTTTTTTTATTCTTTTTTTTTTTTTTTGAGATTCCACTGAACAAAAAATGAGGAGTAGAGTATGAGCCATTGTCCTGGGACATGATGAGTTAGGAGGTTTTTGCTGGATGAGTTTGCATTCTCTGGTCTGATTACTGTTTTGTTTTCCATTGATCCTCCTGTGTTAATAAAACCCAGTCTGGAGTGAACAAAAGCTTGCTTCTTGTTCAAGTAAGAAATGTGCCGAGTGCATACCATATCATTAACATAAAAGTTTTTGAAATAATACTGCTTTCTAGACAGACTGTATTAATTGCATCAAGCTTTTTACAGCAGGGTGGTCTAATCTAGCTCCTCTTATTGGCTGACTCCAGTTATAAAACCAACATAAAATTAATATGGTGATATAATAGAAGGAGGGAAAAGTATTCTTTTAAAAACCTATGATTTACTTACAGGGACTGCTTTTATCTTTACTGTCACGTTAACCTTTGCCAAGAAAACACCAGACTAGTTAAATGAAGCAGTAAGTAGAATTTCAGTAGCCAAGTAAATTGATATTAACTTTACAAGATGACTGTGATTTTCAGAATGTCCTAATGACTAATACAGCTGATTCCTTGAATTAGCAGGAGCTTGTTCCTCTCTTCTGAGCTATGGACCCATGCTTTCCTCTGTTTTAGACTTTAAACTACACAGCCCTGTCCATTAATCATTGCTGTCCATGCCCACTTGCTGTTTTCACATATACAACTAAGTATCTAATTGCTTTCCACCTCCTTCCACCAGCCTACATGTGGGAAGGAAGCAGATTCACTGGTTAGATGAATATATGTGTATTAGACAGATTTAATTATCTTTACAGGGGTATATAAAACCCTCACTCATGGGCCCAGGTCCAAAGATTTTGGATCAGGTGTATATCTGAATGCAGGCACAGGGGACAAATTATTCTCTGTGTGATTACAATCCCTTTTGTCTTATGCCGATTACAATCCCGTTTCTGGGGCTTTTGCACCACAGTATCTTCAGGGCAGGGACTTTTTTCTTTGGAGAGCACACTGTAAAGTGCCATGCACTTCTGCACTGAGATTTTCAATGCTCATTTCTCGTTAACTTTAATGGCAAATGGGCATCCAAATCTCTTAGGCAGCTTTGACAATTTAAGCCTTAATGTACAATATTAATAAATCAGCATCATAAAAAGAGTCTTATGAAGATGTATTGTGAAAAAATAGCCCCACAAAAAGCATCGCAGTGTATGTGTGCACGCATACAGGCATATACTTTTCTTTACATAATTACGTCTCACAACAATCATTTGCATGTCTCTGTTATGCAAAAAAACCTGTGTGTGTTTTACAGTTACTCTGAGCAGTTGCAATTCATTGAAATTAAATAAAAAGCAGGCTCAAAAAAGCACCCTAATCTGGCAAGGGGTAAAGCAAAATGAATGCTTTGCCCATTTATATTTTAGATCCAAGCTACACAACCCTGTGAATTTCATTACTCTATTCCAACTTCTAATTAAATAGGCACTAAAAACATTTAAACAGGAGAACCCAATTCAACAGACAAAAGCCTCTGAGGCAAAAAATAAATAAATAAATAGATTGAGAGAGAGCTTGAACCAGTGGTAGATTTTTTTTTTTTTAATCGCATGGAAAAATATAGACCTTTAATTGCAAATTCCTCATCCTGTGGTGCCCTGAATACAAAGAACTGAACAAATACTGAGGAGACCACGATCAGCACCAGCCGAGAAGCACAGTGGACATCCAAGCAGATGTCCCAGCACTATTTACTGTGATTGAAACCACTATCAGCAGCACATTTTCTAAAGATCACTAACAGCTCTGGATGAGGCAGCATGAGTTCCTCTGTGCATGACTGAATGCTACTCAGCATCCTGGACGATCGCTCTTATCTAGGTCGGAGATTTCCAAATGCAGTTTTTCACACATGTGTACCCCAAATCCCACTGGCTTCCAGAAGTTTAGATTCTCAAGTACAAACTGCTGTGAGGGACTCTTGAGGGCCTTATTTGTGAGTGCCCAGCAGAGATTTGGGAGTACCTGCAACTTCAAGCCTTCAGAGTCGCAACCTGCTTGAGAACTGCACAGAAAAACTCCAGGTCCTGAATTAAATGAATGCTGAAAAACAGGAAAGGTAAGAAACAATGAAGGATGAGGAGAGGGGAGAACTGTTGATGGTTTTTGTTCAAAGAAGGAAACAATTCCTCAGAAGGAAGAACAGGGCTGACAGAATAAAAGGCTAATCAAGTCAGAGAGACAAGCTGATCTCTAAAGCTGGAGCAGGAGACTATTGTAAACGTCTATATTAAAAAAGAGGGCACAATACAGGGATTGTCACTAGATTATTAGTCCACACAAAGAACTCATTTTTCTTTCATTTCCACAAAATATTTTGGGGGACAGAAAGATCCCATAACCCTTGCCATGGGGTTTAAACCATGGCCAGGCTCACGTACAGTGATTTCTATGTGAGCTAAGAAAGGGTTAAGCAGACATAATCTCCTTTTTCATGTGAAGAAAATGTTTCTTTCAAGCAGACCTTGACCAACTACTGTCATAAACATGTAGCATGCACTTTGATATAACCTATTCTCTAAGTGCCGCAGACTGCAGCAGTAATTACAGGAAGCCATGATAACAGGTCTCTCTCTCCACAGAGCTGGCATCACTCTCCCAGCAAACAGGCAATTCTGAAAACTCACAGCACAGAACTCCAAAGTGAGAACTCAAAGTACGCAAAGTACAAAAGCCTCACCTTCCCACATTCTTCAATAAGTTATTCCTTCCTTCCTTTTCTATTTTTAGTTGTACTAGCTTCCCTTACCACTAGCTACTGGCATCAGAAGCAATAGGGAACCAGGGAATTCAGTTCACTGTTACAACTACCTGAGTACCAAAAGCACATGTGTGCAGTCTACACCAGTGAAGACAGAGAACAGCAAAACAGGAGATAAGTTCCAGTTTGGTTTACTGGTTACTGGGAGGAGGGAAGGCAGGAGGTGGGGGAGCTATCTGACTTTCTGATCCAATGCTCACCATTTGCAAGAACCTGTCTCAACATCCATCCCAGGCCAGTTGGCCAATCTACCAAGGCTGCGAAGCAGTTTGATTAAAACAGCATCCCCCACCACGGCAGAAAATCTAACCAAACCCGCAGATGCACTGACAGCACCTCACCACATAGCACACTGCTGCAAGCCCAATGCCTGCACTCCAGTGCAAGCACATGGGTGCAAGCTGAGCATCCTCCAGGCAGCATAGGAGCCTTCTCTGCATGCCCTGAGCTTCACCCAAGGTCGAAATGGCACCCTGAAGAGAGCCTCCTCCTGAGAATATTTTATCTTTCAAGAACAAGGGTTTCCAAGATACAAATTTAAATTTCTTGCAAATCTTTTTGTCTTGTTTTATTACCTCAATGAGAGATGTACAGGGATATTCTCATTAGATACAGCATACTGTAGCCAGGTGGTACCACTACTTGTGGAAGGAATAAGCTGAGCACAGCAAAGTTTTGCCAGCTTCAGGGGGGAAATGAGGAGCTATTTCCCAAAGGCTTTACTGCTGACAGTCATTGCTGTCTCTCTAAATCCTCTGGTCCTCACACTTTACTTATCCAGAATCATTTGGGGAACTCCCTATTAAAACTACATGCATGTTATCATGAATGAGAGCTGTGGGGTTTGGCCCACCACAGTGAGACTCCATAAACATTTGTGGATTTTGCCACATCTGTATTTTTTTTAAACCCCCACTGCTTTTCACCTTTCCAGCCTGCAGTTCACCATAAACCCAGTCTTGCAACTGAGCCATACTCAGAAACACCCACTGATTTCAAAGAGATCACTGGGTCTGAAATGATGGGGTCTGGCAACAATATGTCCGCGTTCTCTTTGGCTAGCTTGGTGTGCCTTCATTTTCACATTACTTTCCCCTCCTTGTGGTGACAAAAGTCAGGCATCCAAAAGGAATAAAGGAAAAGAAAAGCTGATGGGGTAGAGGCCAGGGATGCATGGTGAGTTACCAAGGAGCATTTTCTCAAGGCAAGGGAGAAAACAGCATGGAGCACATACACCCTGTGTGCACATGGATACGGAGGAGAGCCTTTAATATGAATGATTGAGGAGGGAGGGCAAAAAAAAAGAGTGAAATAAAAATACCTCAGATGTTAAATGTTATCCAATTAAGCTTAAGATAAGCATCCCAGAGAGATGAAATCTTGATACTGGGATATATACTGGGGTATCACGTTCTGTGAGGAGTCTCAGACATTTGTTAACAACATGGCACAAACGGCCTGGCAGTGGCTGTGGGTGACAACCGAGGGTGGGCAGGCAGGAAGGGAGGGATGGGCAAACGGAGGGAATCACATGCCCTTTCCCACTCCCAATCCTCTTCCAGAGTAAAGAGGGATGGAGGAAAGGGGTTTAAGGCATTTTCTCTGCCTTCTCCATGCGACCCAGCAAAGGCAGCTCTCCCACAACAAAGACGACATCACTTGGCAGCACTACTGACCTTCAGATAGCAACAAAAAAAAAAAGTATTTCTATTACCTGACAACTGACAATGACATCCAAATGTGCCTGACGTCTCAGTCTGAATCTCAGTCTGAGTCCCGCCAACTGAGACTGCACGTGCACCACAGCAGGGCAGGCTAAGGCAGGGCGGGAGGGAGGCCAATGCGCGGAGAGGTGACGTGATCACGGATGTGTGAGGGTGGGAGGAGGCAGCTATGGGAGCCCCCGGCAGGTTTGCAGGCCTGGACGGCCCTGGAGAAAAAACAATAGAAAAAACTGTCAGTCGGATCTAAGTTTGAAGGGACAGAGGAGGCATTATCAGCGGAAACAAGTGAGGCGGGGGCTGGCTGCCTAACGCATGACACACTTGGTCTGAACCCCTCTCTGTGTCTGGCTGAGGCTGCCGGGCTCACACTGGACAGGGGAAGAATAAGAAGAGACCTGGGGGACCCATGAACCCAGGCTGGGGGCCTGTGGTATGCATGGAGTGGGGTGAAGGTGGGGGATGGCCAGCCCTGGCACGGAGCAGAGTCAGAGGCAGCGGACGTCACCACCAGTCGCCACCAGAACTTGCTCAGGGACCAAATCAAAAGGGGGATTATTGTTTTATGGCTGTGTTAATGCACTGAGATGACACAAAACTGGGCAGGCTTTCTGCCGAGCCGCTGCTGAAGCAGGCTCCACACACCAGCCCGGACAAAGTGAGGTGACTTAGAGCTCAAATGGCTCCAGCGAGGTGCCAGGAGTCAAGCTCCCAGAAGGAAGCCTTGGCGGCCGCGTTCTGCCTTCCCGCTTGAGCTGCGGCCAGTTGTGCATTTTGCATGCCCCGATTATGCAGGCTGCTTCCCTACTGAGCCTGTGAGGAAGGGAACAACCTTTTTCCTCGCAGCTAAAAGATGATATTGTAACCTCCAACCGTATTATTTATTTTTAACCCCTCTAGGAATAACCTGCCATTTAAAAGCTGTATTTAAAAGTTTTCCCCTGCTCCACTGGAAGCGCTTGTTCCTCCTGGCACTAGTCCAAACTGAACTCTGTGGCTTTGAAAAACTAAGATACAAGTCTTAAATATCGACATACACCTGCACAAATACAGACACATAGACACACACACGCAATCATGTAGAAGTCATGTTTTTGGCTGGCATGAATTAGCAGAGTTTAAAAGGAAGCTTAGTGAATGGCACTACTTTCCATCTACTGGGAATCCTAACCCCTCCATTTAAAACTATGCCTACCACTTAGTTATTAACTAAAGGGTAGCTACTAATCAAGGGCAGTCTCTAAATGAAGATATGTGGTGGAGTAGTCGCCATTAAAAAGCTGGCATTTGCCAATAGTTACCGCACAGTGGTAGATCAGAAACCACAGTTTCCCCCTGTATTTATATCAGGAAATATGTGTGCTAATTGTGGGGTACCTTCTGGCAAATGGTCTCTTTCTAAATGGTGGCATCTCTGGCTGTGCGTGAGTGTGCGCCTTGCAGATACATGCAAACACCGTGGCAGCAAGGAGAAATATTTATGTGTGTTCCCTCCAACCCTAGAAAAAAACAACATTTTCTATAGGAACTGACACTGTAGCAGCAAGGAGAAATATTTATCCATGCTCCCTCTGACCCTAAACATGCAACAATTTCCAAGGGAGCCTCTCCACCCTGAGAGTCCCTATTTGGAAACCAGGCCTGTATGTTGATCTGACAGCTACACATGTGAGGCAAACGGGGATACTTCATCCTTGGCACAGCATCCAGTGCTCCAGTCTGCAAGGACTGCATTTGATTTTGGCATTTATCTAAAATGGCTAAGAGACCACCAGTGCAAAACATTTGTGTGAAGCTTTTGCCAAAACCACAAGTGAAGAGTCTAAATTCCCTGTGTAAATACTTGAGCTTCAAGCATCAAGGATAAAATTTATGCTCTTTTGTGAGGACTGGTTTTAAATAGAAGCCATCTCTGTGGTTTGTGGGACAAGGAAGGACTTTTTTTATTTTGGGGGCTCTGTTGTTTGACTTCTGTAACTCTTTCATCTCTCTGAAAGTACTACACAAACAGGTAATGATAACTGCTATCCAGATCATATCTACATTGTATTTTGAGCAGGATGGTGCACTATGCATGTAGAAACTGATGTCGGACATGGATTTCAATGTGTATATGAACCACTCTACTGCCACTGTAAGAGATATGAGTAGCAAGTTTGGTTTTTTCATGGAACATGCAAAAAGTAACACAGATTCCCTCCAATGACTTAACAATTGTATCTTATATTCTTAATATAATAAAAATAGCTAGACTGGGTTGAGCTGCCTGGGCACTTGTCCTTGCTGGGAAAGTCATGAGCTTAAAATGGGGATTTAAAATAGAACCACAGGGCAGCTGCTTCTCAGGTTACACAAGATGTGTCTTCAGCTCCACCATGACTAAGGGTCCTGCAATCACGTGGCCCTCTATACATTGTGGTGCCATATTACGGGTTCTGAAGGAGATCATCGCAGAGATGATATAGAGAAACTATATGAAGCCCACCAAGTACACCATCAGCCTCAACTGCATGGGACTTTAGCGTGGAGGTCCACGGGCCCTGGCACACAGCACTATCCTGAGAGTAACAGCCTCCTCTCTAGTCCTTCTGTGTCCCACACTGGTGATGAAATTGATGTGGTCTGCACAGCCCTGAGGTGTACAAGATGGGAGGCCCTCCCTGCTCTTACCCAATAATCTCCTCTAGTGTGGAAACAGATTTAAGATTGCAAATACCAGGTTTCTCACCATCTGGTCAAAGGGATCCTGTAAGAGCCTCCCAACAGAGGTACTGGGGGCAAGAGAGCAATCTGTTTTAACAAGGTACCTAACCAACTTACAGAAGGACTGTGTGAACCAGATGCCAATGAATGGATGGAACTGAACCTGTCATTCAGGTGGTCTTTTTCTTGTTCTAAACCTGGAGAAGACAGGCTCTGGGGAAACCTTATAGCAGCCTTTCAATACCTGAATGGGGTTGACAAGACAGCCAGTCAGGGACTTTTTACAAGGACATGTAATGATAGGACAAGGAACAATGGCTTTAAACTGACCTAAGGTAGGTTTAGATTAGATCTTAGAAAGAAATTCTTTACTGTGAGGGTGGTGAGAGACTGGAACAGATTGTCCAGAGAAGCTGTAGATGCCCCATCCCTGGAAGTGCTCAAGGCCAGGTTGGATGGGATTTTGACCAGCCTGGTCTAGTGGAAGGTGTCCCTGCTCATGGCAGGGGGGGTTGCACCTAGATGATCTTCAAGGTCCATTCCAACCCAAACCATTCTATGATTCTATGTTTTAGTGTGTATATGAGGAAATCTAAAAATTGCTAACCTAGTGTTAGAAAAGAAAGAATTGGTACGGGAGAAGAAGAATTGACCAAGAGAGACTCTGGCAGATGATCAGGGATTACTCCCAAGTCCAGCACTAAGAGACAAAGATCATGGGGCTGCCAGACCAGATTTGTCTGTCCCTATAGACAAAGTCAAATCAGGTGATTCCTCCTCCTCTTTGCTACGACTTCAGTGTTCGCTTCTTTGTCACAAATCCAGACAGTCCTACAGAATCAGATCAGATGGCAAATCATGAGGATGGAAATCATACCCAGTGGCCTTCGGGAAAAGCAGGGAAAGGAGTGTTCCACCATTAGGTACACGATGCCTTAGGTGCAAGCTATAGAAAGAATAACAGTTGCGCTCAGAAATGCTCAGCTTGTGTTTGCTAGGAACATATTCCTGTTTTATCTCTTTAGCACCTCTCTGCGGGATCCTATGTGGGATTTTTCCCCATAAAGGGTCTATTTAAAGCTGAAAATGAAGATGGAGGCTCTACTATTCTTCAACTTAACTGTTACAGATGACAAACACAAAATGAACAAAGAGATAAAAAGATAAATAGATATGGGTAGATAGATAGTATCCTAAGGTGGTACTGAGAGTTTTCTGCTCAGCCCACGCAGCAACAGGCGAGGGAGTGGAGCTGATCTCTGGAATTCTACATCCAGTCGACCACATCACATTGCACAGAGGTTTCAAAAAGAAAACACACCTGCAAGCCCCTGACTGCCACAAAGGGCACAGCCACAATCAGCACTAAGGGAAAGTAAACCACAAGAACTGCAGTCCAATCTTAGAGGCAAATATCCCATCTGGATGGAGAGAGCAGGCACACACATGCAGCATTGTGTCATTCCGACATCAATGACATGATGTGTGAAGCTCGATTTTCCTCTGGGGTCAGCACTGGGAAATGACTCACCTGCACTGCAGATCTCAATTACATATTCTGCATTCATTCTGCATGGTTGCAAAGGGGAGTTTTGCACATAGTATGAGGGTGAAACATGCACAGGGACTGTCACTATGTAAATAAAATATCTGCATTGCTGATGATAGAGGAAGATTTTGTTCTCATGCCTTAAATTGGCTCATCATATCCTTAGAGGCTGTACATGGCAGTAGCTCACAAGTGATGTTGATTCCCATGCACTGTAATTTTTTTTTACTCTCTGCTGTTTTTAAACTTTCAAAGAAGAAAATAAGGTAAATTGGACATGACCCCAGACAATGGAAATGAACATAAGAGCCTAGATAAACCTGACAAAGGCCACAATCAAGGCATAAATTGTATCCTTTTGTTGTCCCTCTCCCTAAGCCTAGGCATGACTGGCCGTATAATATGGTATATGTGAAACACCATGCTCCTCAGGCACATCCACAGCAAAGTCCCTGAGCAAAGCACAAAGATGGAGCCAAAGCAGCATCCACAACGTCCCACCTCAGCATGGCTGAGACCAGGGGAACCAATCTTAAATTTTAAGAGATGTGCCTTTATGTCTCATGTCATATATAATTGCAGCCACACGTAGCTGTGTAGCTGGTGTGTCCCAGGGGGTGTTGTGTGTTTGGCTGGGAGGGTGCCTGGGTGTGTATCTGTGTACAGGCAAACAGGCAGGTGCACAGGCAGACATGTGAGCCACTTAACAGGGCATGAACCAAGTTTTTCTGTGTGTCTCTCTGTGCCTGTCTGGTGACAGAAAATCCAATCAATAGCTGGTTAGAGAATAAAGCTCAGCTCCATTATTAAAAAACTCTCAATAAAAAGAAAAACATCTGTTCAAACAGTGTACGGCTACAAATTTGGAGTGCAGGCTGAAGCCTCATCCCTGCCCTGTGCCCATCATGTTCAGGAAGAATACTGCAGATGTTTTGAGATGGGTTTTACATGCACCAT